CGGCGACGCACACACCACGATGGCGCTGCTGGCCGTGAAGAAGAAAGAAGACGAGCGACGTTTCCTGGCGCAATCAGGCAACAACGGCTGGAGGACTGGGTTCGCAAGGAGAATACGGAGCTGGGACAGGCTTGGCTGCGATGGTGAAGCACTACGACGACGGCGCGGGCTCGCCGGAGTTGAGCGGTGGCGACGGGAAAAGCAGAGGAATAGAAAGAAGACGAACGGAGCGACGGCACCAGGGCTTTAAAGGTGGCCAGGAAGCAAAGAGAAGCCACGCAGGGCCTTCTCCGCGCCAGCGCGAAGCCAAGGGCGGCTCCAGGCGTGCCTGAAACCGAGCAGAAGGTCGCTGGCGGTGTAGCTTAAGCGGCGAGCACTGTTCAACGTATTTACAGAATTGCCATCCGATTTGAAACTCAATTTACTCCCAAATTTATGCAACAACTCAAAAATCTCCAAAAATAAAAGTTGTTCAAAATCCAAAGTTCTATAACTTTGCTTTTATAACCACCCCTAATTCGGCCTACATTTTGAAATGCCAATTTGAATTCAAAAATGGGACATTTAAAGAATCTCGCCTTTTCAAATTACTTCAAATTTTTCAAAACAACTTTGAAAACTGCAAAAACCAACTTTGTACAACTCAACAAGCTCTACAATTTTGCTTTAAGGCTCAACCCCAAAATGTACTTCGATTTTGAATTAGGTTTTTCGGGATAAAATAAATCACTGGAAATCAAGGTTTTCGGAAATCCAATTCAACACAACTTTAAGAACTTGATTCAAACAGTACAAGTCCACACATTCAACATAAAAGTAAACTTGTTTTAGTGAATACATATCAAATTTTTTAATAAGACCAAATGCTTTGCAATGCATATGATGACATGTCCTGTTTTAGTATTTAAAACACCCGGGGTGTTACAGCCAAGAGAGTTCCTTTGAAGAATATGACACACAAGGAAGTAATTGAGTTCATCACTGAGCATATTATTCATAGATTCGGTATCCCTCAAACGTTAACTACAGATCAAGGGACATCGTTTGTGTCCAAAAGAGGTGAGGGAATTTGCCGAATTATATAAGATCAAGTTGCTCAATTCATCTCCATACTATGCTCAAGCCAATGGCCAAGCTGAGTCTAGTAATAAGACTTTGATCAAGTTCATCAAAAAGAAAATTGAGGAGAATCCAAGGAGATGGCATGAAGTTTTGTCTGAGGCTCTATGGGCACATCGCATTTCAAGGCATGGTGCTACAAAGGTTACTCCTTTTGAGTTAGTATATGGTCAAGAAGCCGTGTTGCCTGTCAAAGTGAATTTGGATGCATATAGGCTCGCTAAATAAAATGATTTATCAGTTGTTGTGTATCATGATTTGATGATGGATAACATCGATGAGGTGACTTATGTGAGATTAAAGGCTCTCAAGGAAATAGAGAAAGATAAAGCTCGAGTTGCCAAAGCATACAACAAGAAAGTTAGGAGCAAATCCTTCCAAGTGGGAGAATTTGTGTGGAAAATCATACTACCAATTGGATCGAAGAGCAATCAGTCTGGCAAGTGGTCACCGAATCGGGAAGGTCCTTGCAAAGTGGTCAAAGTTATATTTAGAAATTCATATGTGCTAGAGACATTGCAAGGTGAACGCCTCACGAGAGCATTCAACGGGAGGTACTTGAAAGGGCACTTTCTAAGTGTTTGGCAAGAAGCCTAAATGCTCTCCAAACAATGGCTGATACATGTATCACCCTTAGAAAAAATGGCCGATGTATACATTGCCCTTAGTCACTAAGCAGCCGATGAGATGGGTATCGTCGCTGTTTGGTTTTGAATAAGTGTCTTCAGGTTCATGCATCATTCACCTAAAAACAGGGGGGCATATGTTGACAATCAAAAATGTCTATTTTGTGAAATTGTCAAAATGTGAAATGGACTTCACAATTGCGTTCCTCTCGTCGAGATGGTCAAAAAACATATATGGAACGTCTAATTCGAAGTCTGGATGAAGAAGTTATGCCAGTTCCGACCCAAGTCGGGACTTCCGACTGTCGGGAGTTTCGATGGGTGTTGGGACTTTCGTGAAGCCTGAAGAAATCTGCTCGGGTGTCTAGGGTTATCCCTACGTCGGGAGTTTCGACAAAAGTCGGAAGTTCCGACTGTCGGGAGTTCCGACCTAACTCGGGACTTCCGACATACCTAACAGAAAATCCTATTCGGATCTGGCCTTTTGAATTCCGATCCGAACTGTTCTAAACTCATGGGAAACTAGGAAAATAAGGCTTGGAGAGGTTTTCTATTAGGATAAGACCACCCTCTCTATATATATGAGAGGATCATGGCCGATTGAGTTCCTATCTATCCAATCGTCAAACAAATCAATCTACTACATCTACTTTAACTCTTTTGCCCTCTTCTCCAACCCCTATGTTGTTCATCCCTTGATCCGACGACCAAGGATGGTGCGCTAGGCTTGTCGGCCGACCTAGGGCAACCCGACGACGTCCTTGCCCTAACGGGGTCTCTGCCGGGCGAGAACTTCGACAGTTTCTTTGCTAGTTTGTCTGAAAACTAGCCGGTTCTTCGTCACGTAAGCACGTTGGTTATCCTTTGGTGGTTTGTTTGTAAACCTCTCCGCTTCTTCACCACGAAAGAGTGACATCCTCGCTGTATTCTTTGGTCTATAGTAGCCCGGGCGTCCAAGTTCCAACGTCAGGGTTTTGTTCCATTTATGCAGATGCGAGCAACGATGTCGATTACAGGTTCCTCTCCCTGCTTCTGCTACGAAGATGATATGATATGCATTACAGGTTCTTGTCCTCTACCCGCTCCAAGATGTATCCAACGTGGTTTGGATATATACAGTTGGTTCTTGTCCTGGTAGATTATAGGTTCTGCCGATATAATTACGGCTTCTTCCCTTCTCCAGACCTTGATTGTCCTACACATCCCTATGGTTGGGGTGTGTTTAAAAGTTTAGCCCTGTCATATTGAATCTTTGATATCAATTACGAGTATTAAACATAAGCTAATTATAAAACTAATTACACGGATTGAGGCTAATTTACGAAGCGAATCTATTAAGTCTAATTAGTCCATGATTTAACAATGCGGTGATACAGTAAAACCATTTGCTAATTATGGATTAATCTATTAAATCTAATTAGTCCACGATTTAATGATGTGGTGCTACAGTAAACATTTGCTAATTATGGATTAATTAGACTTAATAGATTTGTTTCGCTAATTAGTCTACTTTTGTGCATTTAGTTTTATAATAAGCTCATATTTAATCCTCCTAGTTTACATCCGAACGGACACTACTAAACTTTAGCCATAGATCCAAAGCCTGCCTGTACTACATATGCCTTCTACGATTCTACGTATCATAGGTTCTACGGAGCTTGCCTGTTGGACAGACCCCTTCTACGATTCTAAGTATCAGATTCTTTGCTCATAGCCTCATCATACTTTGTCATAGCCTAATCAAACGGATCTACACCCTTTTATGGGACCAGGCGATTATGTGGATTACATAGTTTGCGGGACTGAGCAAATGAGCAATTGACCGTTCGCTTCGCTGAAAAAACAAACCAAAATACTTTCCTACAGCTATGTTGTGAGAGAAAAACATTACGAATTATAAGACAAGTGAACAGGGCCATTATGTTTTGAAGTATTATTAATCTTCCAAGCTACTTGAGCGTACCCAATTCGCAGCAACGTGTAGGAAGCAAACAGGGTCAACTCGTATAAATACTGAGCAGCAGTAACCATCAGAGGTGCCGCCTAGTACAGCACGCGGCTTCATCCCGTACCAACGCTCAGGCTACTGCGGACCATGAGACCAGCAAGAAAGTCCCTAATAGCCCAGAGTGCCAAATGTAATCCGGTCATGCCAATGTGTGCAATCTCAAGCTAGGGCCACTACTGAAACAAATATCACACTTGGCATGCAATAAAAAGTAGAACCTGTAATCCCATAGGAGCTCCAGGTACTATCCCAGCACGCACCACAGGCTGTAAGCTCTTGCAAGCTATTGGTTAGCAACGTGATTTAACCCAAGGTAAATACAAACAGGAGCTTACAGCCCAATTCGCAGCAACGTGTAGAAAGCAAACAGGTCATCAGACCAGCAGGTCCCAACTCCCAAGTAGTCAAATGAAGCCATCCACTCCAATTTTTCAATCTCAAGCTGAACCATTACTGAAACATACCACACTTGCATACAACTGAAACATACCACACCTGCATACAACTGAAACATACCACACTTGCATACAGCTGAAATATACCACACTTGCAAACAACTGAAACATACCAGATACAAGCAGAAAACAGCAAACAGGACAGACAATAAGCACGATAGCACAACTCATAGATCGAACCTAAAAGGATCGCTTAAAAGGATGGTTTAACGACATCCTACAAGGTTCCAAGTCTTCCTGAGGGCAGACAAGGCACAAAGGACTGCAACAAGCCCTCAGCCAAACATAACTGCAGCGATGCTTTAAAAACTAGCATTTAACATCCTACTACTAAGTCTTCCAGAGGCAGGCACCAAGTGCCGCAACAAGTTCATAAAAGCTCATGGGCATCATCCAAGAGCGTTTACTCCACCAGACAACTACTACCAGGGTTCAGACCCAACCACCCACCAAAAGTAAGGCCACGGCACATGCCAAAGAAAAATGCCGAAGCAGCAAGCTATAGATGCTCAGCAGAAGAACATCGAGCTCCTGACTTTCTCATGCAGACGGGGCAGCTCCTGGACAGGGACGCTGCCCGCCGAAGTATGGCCGCCATGGCTGGAGGACGTCTCCGACATCTCATCAAACTTTATGAACTGGCCGACTTGAGCAGCTGCAAGATGTGCATAGCAGATGGGAGCAACTGCAGGCAGGCAAACAATGGAATCAGTTCCCACAGATCTGATAACACAAGCTACTGGAGGTGATGAGTTTGCCACACAAAAAGAAAAGTTGCCAGAGTAAACTTACCAACTGATATGGCTGTTGTGCTCCTTTGGTACCTGAAATAAAGTCCCACAAAATGGCTAGTGAGCAGGCATGTTTTTTCATAATAACAGGACAATAGGTTAGCAAAAGTTTTTAAGCCTCTGCTTGGTACTTACACATAAGAAAGGGAATGCACCAGCTCCTGCAGGTCATCAGGGTTGAAGCCTATCTCATCATGCAGGATGTGATAGTGAGTTGGCCTCGTAGTCCCCTGGCAAAAAAAGAAACATGCAATTAGATCTATCAATTCACATAAAAAAATAATGTCTACATAGGCAAACTTAATGACAGCAGAATCAAGTTTCAGTGAAATCTCGGATACACACTGAAACAAGGTGATAGCAGCACAAGCAGACACATAAAACAACCTTAAATTTGGCCATCTACTGGAGCAATATTACAACCAAGTTTACCACTGATGGTGTGACGCACCTTGGCAGTTTAAATTCGAACACAGTTGCTTTAGTGTGGGGTTACAAATGCAGGACATTTCTCATTTCAGGGCAAAACGACACCAATTGACTGTAGATCAAATACAAAGGCAGAAATGCTTACGATCATTCCAGCATGTGAACACATGTAGAAGTCAAAGTTCCTTGGATGGCAGACTTTGTTGTCCACAACAGTCCCTACAGATAAAACCATTGAGATGATTAGAGAATATAATAAGGTCACCAATAAATGAGCCTACACAATTGCAACAGCAGAATGGTAGGTGATGAAGATTACCAGGTGGAACATTATCTGGCTTTCCAGGAATGAAAAATTTAGTGTGATGGTTCTTCTGGGCAATAATCAACGTGAACTTCGGATTCCATTTCTCATCAAGAAATTTGCAAGCCTGAAGAGGTAATAGGACCATGTTAATATGGACAAGCACGTAGTACAGCATAATTGGATAAAAGCAACCATGACACCACCACCAATAGAGCGTGCCAATAGAGTTGCTAACAAAAAATACCTCGATGATTTGTAGCAACTCAATGTTCAGCACCTGATTAAACTGACTTTCGCTAACACCATCCCTATAATTAGACACAAATCAGCTTGGTGCTATAACAAAACAGATGAGACAGGAGATAGGCAACCAATTTTCTGAACCAAACAATTACTTCCACAAACTACCCAGATTTGCAAACAGATAGTTTAAAATAATAACAGACCTGAAGATGATGACTTGGTCAGGCTTTCTCTTCCCAGAACTGGTGTAGAAGTCAATCAGACACTCCCTGAAGATACATCAAATTCCAACAAGTAACGGGAGAAAGCATGTCAATAGAACATAAAGGATATTCAGCAAAGTGCAACATGATCAAACTTAACGATGGTAATGCAGGTAAAGATCTCTTACCGGATCAGACCATCATCTTCAGTTTCCCGTGGCTTAAACAATGAGTCAATCATTTCCATTTTAGGTGATTGGGTGCGGACAGAAGCTCTGTATTTCGAGATAAGAGGCCATTCACGAGAACTAACAACCTAAGAAAAATAAATTCAGAACTGTCACAGTAGCTACTATTTATTGTTTATCACAGAAAATTACAAAAATTATACTTACAGCAGCAATGGACGGTACATCAGAATGTCCAGGAGAGCCGTGGGATACATCCATTCCCAAGATTATAGTTGGGGCCTTGGATACGAGAGGAATTGCTGGGGATGTCTCAATTTGGAGCAACGAATTCATGCCACCCAACTGTTTGAAAAGGGAAAAAATATCAAAAACATATAATTGCCATATACAAATGTAGCCATGCTCTCAAATCTCAGGGCGAAGTTACAGACCTTTGCATTTATCTTTAGTAGGACATTTGTAAGATACTGATCATTGACTCTAGTTGGTGCCACGCACTGTGTTACGATCCCAAATTCAGCAAGGCATTTCTTCTTCCAAGGCCCTGTAAAGGTCAATGGCATAATGATACAGCGGAAAATAAAATGTGCCACAGAAGTTAACAGCGATTTATAGTAATATTAACCAACCATAAATATCAGAATTCTTCCTTTCAGCTAGAACACACAAAAGAAACTTGGGTGCTCCAGGAAGCTTAGTTTTCACTTGTTCAAACATGTCTTCAACCCTTCTTACAGCAGGTGACCGTCTCATTGAAGGATTCTCATCAAATACATCGAAAGGTGCTTCAACCATCTGCAATACCAAACAAGTAAATAAGAACATGTGGAAATACAATACCAAACATGAATTAGAACACATCTGGAAACGCGTAACATGATGAGAAAATAAACTTACAATCCCCTTCATGCCTCCACACTTGATGAGATCACGGACAAGATCCCTAACATTGCATCGTGCAGAAAAGTTGACCACTGCCCATTTCTCGACACTGCTAGCTCTAATGAGCCTCTAAAAACAGAAATTCAAATATTACATGTGACATCATGAGAATCCACATACACATAAGCAAGAATATGCTATACATGCTGACCTTATTGTTGAAGTTCCATCTACCATTGCGTGTAAAAATGTCTTCTCCATTCCCAGCTTTAAGCTGAACGAAAAAACAGTTATAAGATTTACAGCTTCAAAATTCCATAGCCACAAAGGATGTCTGAAATGATATATAGGATAAACAGTAATGACCAACCTTGGGGGGCTGCAGTACCCTACCATCAACTTCTGTGAAACTTCTAGAAATTGTAATCCCGCATGCCTTCAGCATGGGCTCTGCATCATAGTTGCTTCTTTGCAGTACCTGCCCAATTTGACATGAAAAAAAAACAATAGTTTAAGAAAACCACGCCTACCAATAACCCAACTTGCTAGGCCCAATTGTTATTGTTATATATAATAACAAAAAGAAAAGAATTGCTAAGTTCAACCGTTCAATCCAAAAAAATCACTCACATCAGACAAAACAGACATCCTTTCTTGTGGTTTCTGCCTAGATTTCTCAACAAGTGACGACCTCTGTAGTGTGCTCAAAGCTTTAGTGTATCTTTGTAAAGGCAGAAGACTGCATAACTGGTAAACATGGAAACAATCTTCACAACATTAGCAGGGAAAAGAGATTCACAGCAAAGGAACAACGCTACTATTCAAATAATAGTTACCTCAACTGGAAAATATGTTGGCCGCTTTGGTTTTCCCACATTGATACAAGGAAGATCACCAGAGTATTGCAGCTCTATGCCACGGTTCTTTATGAAGTAATCAAAAACAGTGATCTCTTCAGAGTCACCATTGCCATTTTTATGTTTCAGTGTGAATCTACATAAGCAAGGAAATCACCAAGTACTTAGAAAATGTATATGAAACTAAGATGCAGAACTCAAAAGGAGCTTGGAGAACAAAATAAAGTGCAAACAATATAAAAACCGTTCAAACACCAACACATCACGCTACTTACAATTGCTCACGGCAAGGTCTGTCGCTGAGACCAACAATCTTCTGCTCTTGGTTCGCTGGACTTGTTTTTATCCGTAAGTTCTTCAGTGCACGCTTGGCCTGCATAAATAAGTAAAACAAATTGCAAAAATAAACATCTAAAGTATGGTGAAATGGAACTCAACCTTCAGCCTATACTATATGTTGTATTTAGCATGAAACATTACCTTAGCCCAATCAATCATGCTTGGATCACTAACTTTCTGATTGGCAAGCAGAAAATCAATGACAGGACCAGGTTTCACAATCATTGTGGTGGACACATCTGCACAACATAGTAACACATGCAGACATTACCAACTGCATAGAGAGAAACGATCATTGTATTGTATAGATTAAAACAGGGCATATGGATGATATGAACAGACCGATATTGAGTGAAAGTCCACTCTGGGTTGCACGAAAACTAGAATGAAACCCTCTACAGCCCACTACACCACCACCCAGGTCAACAAAGTTGGAAGGATTGTTGTGGAAGAATGATTGCCTTACTAATAGGCAACCCCTGCAAGCAAAAAGGGACACGGTTAAAGACAGAGAATGGCTACACTGCAAGAACCGTCAATAATATCAGCAATATTTGTAATATATGCCCTCTGAACTGCATGAAACAATTACTTACTGCTTAGCTGAGTGCTGCCTCAGAATAATGTCAATCACTCGAATTGCTTCCTGAGTGTGCTCTGATTCCTGACCTCTCAAGGCCTGTGAGATTGCACTCATGGGAATTTTTGCAGCAAAAGAGAGTTCGACCTTGTATGTCTTTGTATTATAAGGCCTTCTGATCCTTTTCCTGTCACTTCCAGGAGGACTGTCATTGCCTGGACTGCCATTTGCAGGAGTCCTGAAAGCAAGAAAGTCAAGTTAACATTTAGGGATAATTATCATCAGAGTAGATAATGACAAAATCAATCAAAATAACTGAGGCTTACTTTCCAGTTGAAACATCATCCACCACGACAGTGAACTCGTTTTTAACTTGAGGAAGAGCACCAATTGTGAACAGGCTCTTCTCACCATCATATGCAAAATCTTTATTTGCAAGTTCAGCAGCATAAGTTTGCTGCAGTTTTTCAATCACTTTTCTTCCCGACCCTTTGCGATCAACCGGTGTATCATCTTCATACTTCAGATTGACCTGCAACCAGTAAAAGATAACAGCATTGATAATGAAGGTATGAGGATGAAAATAAAGAAATGACACTGGACAAGGATTAGAGACGCACGTAATAGTGATAGAAATAATCTGCAGCATTCATGAGAGAAACTTTGAAGTGATTTGTTATCAGTTTTATCTGCTGCCCCTTTCTGCCAAAGCCATTCCTCTGGACCGGACTCCTAAGTTTCAATGGCGCCTTTGTTTCATCAGCTTTAAGTGGCTCAACACCAGCAGCCAAAGGAGGTGGTGGAGGCAAGTCATCAGCATCTCCATTGTGAGACTCCATTTAGTAAGCCTTGCTGCATGAGTAGATATCAAAAGCAACCCAATCAGACATATACATAGGCACTAGCTGTATGATTCAAGCAAGCAGCAATGCAACTGAAGCGGCAGAAGGACAAGTATACAGGTAAATCATCCTTTTAACAGAGATAAAACATCTGATTTCAGAAAAGTACAAGTGGAAGCAACAAAAACTAGGAATTCACACAGTAATGGGAGTCCCTCACTTATATCAATTAGAAATTGGAACATTTAAATATCTGGCATCTGTTTTGTTTCCTAATACTTCATACAATGAAGAAGAGAAGAAGTCACTGTATAGTATAGAATATAGATGTAAGAATGATACAGGTAGGCAAAGCCAATTGCTGTGACCGAACAAATTTAAAAAAAAAGAAAAAGAAATCATGATCATCTCACAAACTATGGAAACCTTAATAAACAACAAACTAAGGAAACAGTAATAAACAAGGACCTCGAACACAACACACTACCATAGTCCATAGAAGATTTGCTAGTGACAACTCATACAGAAACATCCTACTGGACCTTTATAGGAGCCGTTCTACATGCACACAAAATTGTAAACCATATGGCACAATATACTTACGAGAGCAATGTATCTGGCCCAAAGCTGCAAAGCCTCTGCCCAACCCTGCACATCAACAAATAAATGAAAACGAATTATATTATATCATATCATATCATATCATATCATATGACAATAAAAGGACAATAAACAAACGAGAATGTAAATAAATTACAATAAGAGTCATGTAAGAATAATTATATATCTGTATAGACCTCAAAAAATTGCAAAAGATTTGAAAGGGTAATAAATCCAGGAAGAAAGGCAAGAAAAAAAAAAGCCACTTTTCCTTTGGAAAGTCATGGCGAAATTTCCTGACTCCAAGAAACCCCCCAAAAAAAACAAAGAATATTGCTGCGCGTACCCCCTAAATTAACAACGACGCCGCACAAAAACCCTTATGAATGAACCTTCCAGAACAACGCACTAGCACTATTATTCTTAACAATGGACCTTCCAGAGATGCGTATTTATCAAACATCGAATAAAAATTATTCAGAAACTATCCTTTCTGCAGAGAAATGAACAGTGCCACCATAAACCTCCCAAAAAACTTTAAAACACATAAAAATCAGATCTTTAACATGATGAGCAGGAGAACCATAAAACCATCTATAGAAAAACGCGCAAAAATAAATAAAAAATAAATCTTTTAAGATAACAAAGAAGAAAACCTGAATACCCTCCTCCATATATACGTAGAAAGGCTCAAAAAAAAGAGCGAGAAAATTAAGCCTTAAACATGACAAGAACAAATGCGCGACGAAAAGAGAGGGAAATCAGACCTTTGCCATTGCACTAAGGAAAACAAGAAAACCCTCCATGTAACTAAAAAAAGAGGAAAATCGGAAAAGGCATAAAAAAAGTATCAATCCACAGAAGGAAAACCCCAAACGCGGTCACATGCGCGACACGGGGGCACCACAATCAATCCACCAAGGAAAAGCCTCGACCTGCTCGATGGAGAACAATAGAAACATGCCTAAAACCGCACGCAAACCCACCAAAAACGTAGGGGAACAGAATCCATCCACAAAGACACCTTTGTAAGCGCAGACCGGAATGCAGCGATCTTGATACAAAAAAAAACCCAAAGAAACGAAGAACACACCGCCTGAGGGGCGCAAAAACCCTCACCGCAGAAACCCTCCCTAAATCCGCGGCAAGAACAGGCGATCTAAACCCCGCCAAAACCCTAGATTTCCACGAACAGGGAGGCGGGGGAGAGGGAGAGGAACAGAGGAGGAGGGTTTTCGGTTACCGCCGAGTGGTGGAAGCGGATGGCGACGTCTCCGAGAAGGCGAGAGAACTTCTCACCCTTCCGGCCCCTCCGGCTTTCCAAACAAAACACAACTGGGAGGGCAGCGCACCCACCCCTCTTGTACCAGCAGCCCGCCCACCTGTACGACAGGATGGGAAGGGCAGCGAGGTCATTCTGCACCCACCCGCCCGTGCGGTGCGCTCTCTTACGGTTGCGGGGCCGTCCGTGGGCTCCGATCGGCCCATCTGGACCGTGCGTTGGGAGAGCCCGGAACTTGAGGCCGAGACCAGGTGACACGTGGACTGGAGCACTGGACGCGGTAGGCACCTCACGCACTAACGCCCACCGTGCTCTCCACTTCCTCGGTGCACGCCAAAGCGCATCGGACGCAACAATTACTCCACTGATTTGTGGGCACCGTAAAATTGTACCCCACCAGTCATTGTCATCGGTGAGTCCTGCCGGGTCGGGGCAACGCTGCCTCCGGCCTCCGCGGCGAACCGTATCTTGACGTGACTGTGTGTGCCCGAAGTCCCGAACCCCGGAAAGCGGAAGCCACCACCGGTGGGCGACTGGCGACCCGGCGCATCCCCCAGACCCTCACTGACACGTGGGTCCGCGCTATGTTTGGTCCCAGCAATCAGTGACACAGAAGGTGCAGCCCGTGGCCGCCCCCCGAGATGTCACCGCAGACTGCCTACCGGGTACACAGCGTCCCATCCGGTCTGGTACCGGCGTTAGCATGACGGAGGAGAGGAATTCCAGACTGGGAGGACACCTGTACATGCAGCAGGCGGATCGAAGCCGTTAGCTTACGGCGCCGTCATCGGACCGTTAGACCTCCTCGGTGATATCCACGCATCGGCGTTCAAAGGCGATCGCGCTCCTCCAGCTGCACCCTCCAACTGCACCGGGTCTACGGACTCCATCCCACAGACATGTAGGCCCGCACCGTGCTTTCGTATCTCGCCCTCCACGCGGTGCACCGCAGCACCGTGGACCCGGAGCATTCAACAGCGCGGCGGGGTAGCAGCGGCAACGGAAGCGTCGCGCAGGCTGGCAGAGCGTCCTCCCTGCGGCCGCTACCGGGCGGGCGGTGTCGCTTCCGTTTCGGCAAAAAGCTTGGGCAGCCTTCGAAAGGATGGCTGCCGCATCTCCTTCTCCGTTAATGCGGGCAGTGCTGTAGTACGAGCACTGTAGCAGGGAGACTCCCCGTGCTTTTGCCTTTGCCACCTGCCGCTGCCGGCGTTGGGCTCCTCGCCTTCCTCCAGCGCAAGAATGGAAGTGGGGCCGGGCCACGGCTGTCCAGCTACCAGCATTGTTTCCATTTTTGTGCTTCGCGGTGATCGGGAGAGTTAAATTGTGAAGATTTGCAGGTGTGTTTGTTTCAGCTTATTCTCTTTCAACAAATATTATTGAATTAGTTGAAACCCCTCGCTACACAATAGTTTTGTGTACCAGCCGAAAGGGGCGTTGAAAATTGAAAGCGGGGGGATTTGGGGAAGGAATTTGTGAGGATCCGGATTTGAGAAATGAATCGGAAAGTAATTAGTAGGAGATTTTAATACGTGATAATAAAGCACAGTAAGTACTCTTCGCAGTTAAAAAGGCACTCAAATTATTCTTAAAAAAAGGCAATCAAATTGAGTTATTGAGATCATTGCATCGGGGCGGGGGCCCTACTTTGAACGCTCATAATTGTGACAATGCACTCATTTTTTAACTTTGTACGGTAACGTGACCATGTTTTGCTATGTGATAACTAATAATTTATACTAAAAATACACGGATTGCACGATAAGATAATAATACTGTAAAAATTAAATACCAACGTTAAAGTGACATTTAATCCAAAAAGAAAAATTTATGAATTTAACACAGTCACGGAGTACGCGGCGTCGCAGGCTCACAAACTCTACTTTATAGACCTTTTCGTGATGCGGCTAAGATAATGTTTTATATTGGCAGGAAGAAATCTCCGATATCCATTTCTTTCATTGTAATCCATTTATCTGGACAATATTTGAGGTGAGAGCACGGTTACAGTTTTTAATAGCTTTGCGATATTGTCTGAATTTATGAGATTATTGATGTCTTGCAATGATCCTTTCATTAATTTAGTTTTCTATCTATTTTTAATTGTTTATTCAGTCTATTTTATAGGCACGTCGGTAGATAATGGATGACAAAATTCAAGCATCTATAATTTATCTCTTTGACTTTGAGCATGAGTTTTGTTTTTATTTTTTAATTGATATATTGTCCTTTTTATTTTTACCGTAGCGTTAGCACGGGCATGCATAAAAAACAAAGATGTCTTTACACTGCAGAAATCTTTCAAGAAGATCATGCATAGATTATTCTTGTATTGAATATTATATATATTCAATACACGCGTTCCGATGAGGACGTCGATGCGACGTGTTCGCCTGCTGGCGGGAGCTCAACGCGGGGAGCACGGGCACCGGCGAATGGATTCAGCAGCGTCAAGGATGTCGCCTCATCTATGAGCACCAGCCACCCACACGAGAAGCCACATGCCACCTTACCACGCACATCGGGCAGCGTCTTGGACAAGACCTTCTTCTCCAAGACGTAGTAAAAGCTGATGTGGTTTCAAGTCAGGGTCGAACGGGAGCAGCAGGAGCGGCCCCGAAGGTCGCGAGCGAGACGGCAGCGCGCCATGGGGAGTAAGCGGATCGGAAGGACGCCGCGTCGTGGCCTAGACGCGAGACGCTGCCCGATGGACTCGAGAAGATCCTCTGGCAAGCCGGATCTTCAGTCAGAAAGAGGTAGGGACCTTCTCTTGGGATTAGGAGGCTGAGCCATGGAAGACAGATGACATCAACTATGGTTCACGCAAGAAATGATGTCTGGTGTCTACTGTCTCGATGGACCATGGATTGGGGAACGGAAATATGGGGAAAGAAATCAAAATGAACAGACCCAAGGGCAATTTCAGTAAGAAACAGCAAGCTAGGGCGATGGAACACGTGAGCGTGAAACCAAATGAAAGGAGAAAAAAGCTGTCCCTTTTGCAAATGCAAAGAGGAAAAGTAATTAAATATAGACAGATTTGACAAGGTTCTCAGAAATGCAAAGATGTTTCTTTTGTCTTAATTCTCTTTCTTTCTATGTTAATTCTCTTTTCTTT